TCCATTGCTTCTCGTCCTGCCTTCAGGCGCCTTGGAGAATAGTTTGACTCCCTTTTCTTTGTGGCAGCCCCTGAGATATTGGAACACTGCTATCATGTCCCCCCTCGTCCTTCGTTAAACTAGACATACCCAATTCCAGCAACCGTTGCTTATATGTTTTTGTCTCCAGTCCCCTAATCATCTTTGTTGCTTTTCTCTGTACTCTTTCTAGAATCTCAACATCTTTTTTATATCGTGATGACCAAAACTGGATGCAGTATTCCAAGTGTGGCCTTACCAAGGCATTGAAGAGTGGTATTAATACTTCATATGATCTTGATTCTATCCCTCTGTTAATGCAGCCCAGCACTGAATTGGCTTTTTTGGCAGCTGCAGCACATTGCTGGCTCATATTTAAGTGATTGTCTACTAGGACTCCGAGTTCCCCCTCACAGTTACTACTATTGAGAAGGTACCCCCTATACTATACCTGTACATTTGGTTTTTCTTGCCTAAATGTAGAACTTTACTTTTTTCACCATTAAATTTCATTTTGTTATATAGCGCCCAGTGTTCAAGTCTGTCCAGGTCCTCCTGTATCGTAAGCCTGTTTTCTGGAGTGTTGGCTATTCCTGCCAGCTTGGTGTCATCTGCAAATTTGATGAGTTCTCCATCTATCCCCTTGTCCAAATCGTTGATGAAGATGTTGAATAGCACTGGGCCTAGAACAGAGCCCTGGGGCACCCCACTACACACTTCCCTCCATGTAGATGCAGTTCCATTGAGAACCACACGCTGAGTATGGCCGGTCAACCAGCTGTGAATCCATCTGGTGGTGATGCTATCTAACCCACATTTTTCTATCTTATCGAGTAGTAGGTTATGATCTACTTTATCAAATGCCTTACTGAAGTCCAAGTAAATTATATCCACAGCATTCCTCTGATCCACTAATTTTGTCACTTGGTCAAAGAATGCAATAAGATTTGTCTGGCATGATCTGTTTTTGACAAACCCATATTGGCTTTTAGTAATGACTTTGTTTGCCTCTAGGTCAGTGGTTCTCAACCTGTGGGTCGGGACCCCATTTGGGGTCGAATGACCATTTCACGGGGGTCGCCAAACCACGCTGTCCACCATTTTTTCCCCTTTTCCCTAGCTGTCCTACTCCCTCTTATTGGTGGCCACACCCACTTGGGGGTCACCACAACATGGGGAACTGTATTATGGGGTCACGGCATTAGAAAGGTTGAGAACCACTGCTCTAGGTGTTCGCTGATTCATTGTTTGATTATCTTTTCCAGAATCTTCCCAGATATTGAGGTCAGGCTGATAGGTCTGTAATTTCCTGGATCCATTTTTTTTTCCTTTTTTGAAGATGGGAACTACATCAGCTCTTTTCCAGTCCTCTGGTAGTTCCCCTGTGCTCCAGGATCTTTGAAAAATATAGTTCAGTGGTTCTGAGATCACATCTGCCAGTTCCTTGAGAACCTTGGAGTGTAGTCCATCTAGTCCTGCTGACTTGAACTCGTCTAGGCTGACAGCTGCTCACTTACCATTTTCTTGCCTATCTTAATTTGTGTTTCTAATCTGTTTTTTATGGTACTGTTTTTGATAGGTTGGACTGTTTTTTCCCTTTGTGTAAATACGGATGCAAAAAATGAGTTGAATAGTTCTGCTTTCTCCCTGTTGCTTGTCATCTTCTTACCACTTTCACCTTTTCTTCCCTCTATTGTCCATTCCCCTCAACATGACTCAAATAGAAACATAGGTATGCTCCTTTTAATTATAATTTAATTTCTTAATATACTGCACTGAGTTTTATAGTTTTGGGGATTCCTGTGCCATGAAAAAAAAAATAATAACAGTAAGAACAGCTACAAATAGGTGGGATGAAATTCAGCTGTCTGTTTTGTGTAACCAGAATGTGATACTAGAATTTTGTAATTCCATTTTGTCTCTCGCATTCTATTTAAAGAAGCATATTTTTAGCATTCCTGGCCAACTTGATCTTTCTGTGATTAAGATTTGAGAGACATCTTTGCAATCGGGAGCTTCTGGTCTCTTGCACAAGGGACATTTCTACCGGCGTAGCTTTTGCTCTGATTTTGATCCCAGTCCAAGGAGAGGGGGCAGACATTCTGACGCACATTTGTACAAGTAATCCTTGACTTATGACCGATTGCTTACTGACAGTTTGAAGTTACAACAGACCTCTCTGGGGGTACTTATGACCCAAATTTGAAGTTCTGATGGTCACCCACCCGCTCCATGGCCACATGACCATACTTCAGGTGCTTGGCTACCAGGCTGCGTTTATGGCTGTTTGCTGCGGCCTATGATCACATGACTCCATTTTAGGACAGTTTTTAGCAAAACTGCACCCATGGTGAACCCCACTAGTTCACTTAATGACTGCGGTATTTGCTTAATCACCTTAGTGGCCGCTTTATGACTGTGGCCTTCACTTAATGACTGCTGTAAAAATGGTTGTAAAATCGGATCAGTCACATGAGTAACCCGATTTATGACACCATGTTATGATCCTGATGGGCAGACTCCATTATGGTCGTAACTTGAGGAGTAGTGTGTTGCATCATAACCTTACAATGTACACTTTCACTGTAGTGATATTAGCAGGGCTTGTAGGGAGCCCTGTACCTACTAAGAAGTTTGAAGCACGTTTTCTGTTTTCTTTACATCAGATAACTTCGAAGCTCTTGAGGATAGATAGGGTACATCATGAGCAAGTCAAGTTCTCCTCCACCAACCAAGAGACAGTTTAATGAAGAGAAGGACTAGGGGTGACGTGATAGCAGTATTCCACTTTCTCAGGGTTCCCACAGAGAAAAGGGAGTCAAGCTATTCTCCAAAGCACCTAAAGGCAGGACAAGAAGAAATGAATGGAAACCAACCAAAGAGAGAAGTAACCTATAACTAAGGAGAAATTTCCTGACAGTTAGAACAATTAACCAGTGGAACAACCTGCCTCCAGAAGTTGTGAATGCTCCACCACTGGAGGCTTTTAAGAAGAGACTGGAAAACTATTTGTCTGAAATGGTACAGGGTTTCCTGCCTGAGCAGGGGGTTGGCCCAGATTATCTCCAAGGTCCCTTCCAACTTTATTATTCTGTTCTGTTTTATTCATAGGGGTTCCTGATGGTGTGATTGAACCTCTGCCTGCAAGCACCCCGTTTTTACTTTTTGGACCATACCATTGCAATACATGTGAAAAACAAGCAGATCTGGACTTTTTTTAACCATATAACCATAACACCCCTGCAAGCATCCACTGAGCTGTCACAGCTGCCAAAGCTGCCAACATTCTCTTAACATCCAATTCAATTGAAAAAGCACATAACCAGCACACATCTCTCTTCATTCACTCTTTCATATGCTTTGTGTACATTGTCTGGACCATTGTCCAGATTAGTCCAGACAATGCTGGTTGGGGAATGCTGGGAGTTGAAATCCACACATATTCAAGCTGCCAAGATTGAGGAACACTTATCCAGACAGTTGCTGGAAAAATGGGGTGGTGGTGAGAGCAGGAGAGAGAGAGGAGAGGGAGACAGAGGGGAGAAACAGGAGAAAAGCAGAGGGAAAGAGGAGAGGAGGGGGAGAGAGAGAGATGGAGAGAGAGGGAGAGGGGGAGAGAGAGGGAGAGAAAGAGGGAGAGAGGAGGAATGGAGGAGGGAGGGGAAGAGGGAGAGGAGAAGAGAGCAAGGGAGGGAGAGGGCGAGGAAGAGAGAGAGGAAGAGAGGAAGAGGGAGGGAAAGGGAGAGGGAGAGCAAGAGGGAGAGAGGAGAAATGGAGGAGGGAGAGGGGAGAGGAAGAGGGGGAGAGAGAACACAGTTTTTATGGCAGTGGTTCTCAACCTGTGGGTCGGGACCCCATTTGGGGTCGAACAACCATTTCACGGGGGTCGCCAAACAAGGCTGTCCGCCATTTTTTCCCTTTTCTTTGGCCACACCCCTGGTACCCGGTGATGTATAAGTGGTTGGGGGTCACCACAACATGGGGAACTATATTATGGGGTCGCGGCATTAGAAAGGTTGAGAACCACTGTTTTATGGGGAAAGAAATCTGTCCCGCTGGAATGGAGTTATTCCTGTTATTTTTTATTAAAACAAAAAACTCAGATGCTGGCAGGATAACATGACGACATTGTCACAACCAGGTGCTTTTCATAATAGTTGCATAGTTGCAACAGAGAGCCTATGTGCTTGTGTGAGATGGAGATAAACAGAATAGGGACTTCTTTGACAAAATGATGTAAAAATTCAAACTGCTGATAAAAGCAGGAGAATCAAGTTGGCCAGACTCTTTCCAGAGTATGAATCTGATGTTAAGGATTAAGTTCAAGATCACTGATAAAGCTGTACTTCTTCTCCTCTGACTTTGGCAGGTTGTGGGACTGGAAAGGGTGGGAGGGAAGGAAACAAAACCAACAGAGAAACAATCTACTACCGGTCTTGCAATGTTGCAAAAAATAAATACATACAGTAAATAATGATAATCTTTCCTCTGTTTTTTTTTTATAAACTGGGTTAAAACTAGAAAAGTATCAACACGGTCTTTAGAATGAAGCAGTGTAACTGGAAAGGGTCGGGCATCTCCAGAGCCAGAGATGAGTTGTATGAAGAATGTATGTAATGGAAACCAGATATGAAAAGATGTGAGATATTTGATATGACTAAATAACTGGAAAGGTGTATGGCTTTTGCTGTGGAGGTGGAATCTAATACTTTCCATAATTTTCACTTCCACCCTGGAGTAGGCAATTATTGCCTAGTCTGAACGTGTTGCTTTTGATATAGGATAAAAATTACATGAATATGTGGTTAGCTAACTTGTGGTCACTTGATTTTAAAGCTCCCAGAGCAGAATAAATTAAGAGAAAGAGTGATTTGTTGCATTAGAGCCTTTCCATCATCCATTTGCAACTTTAAAGCCAACTTAACTTAGTAGCTCCTTTCTTAGACTTAGATACTTCAGATGAAAGCCAACCAAAGATTCAATTCAACATGACTTTTATTCTTTTTGGGAATGTTGACCCAATATTACATGAAGTTCTTTAACAATATAGAAGATCTCTGCATATCACGGATGGTGAAGTCCACCACATCCTCAATCTGTTTTGTCAGGTCCTGGTTTGGGTGCTGCTTTGGGTTCCTCAAAGGGGTGCTCAATGACTTCTGAAAGAGAAATAAATGGGAAGACCAAAAGGTCAGAGGTCAAGAAAGAACAGGAAGTAGCTTTATTGAGTAAGAATATTTACTAGGTGAATGAGAAACCTCAAAGCTATTTGTTCATCTAGAAGAGTTAGAATAGGAATTTAGGAGCAAAATGATTGGATTCTCTACCACAGTGTTTCTCAATCTTTTTTTTTTATTGAAAAGTTTTACAAAAAATTACAAAATATACCCTAAACCCACCCCCCCTACCCCCTGTACCCCCACCCCACTTCCCAGAGCTGAATAAAGGGTAATAAATGTAATAATCGTAATCTAACTAACATTAACCAACTATATAGATAAACAAATAAAATGCGCTTTAACTCTCTTTTAACACAAAGTAAACAATTTAAGAATAAACTTAATCATATAAACAAATTAAAATCCTAATTTCTAAACAACACAATATCATAAAATTTCCACTATAATAAACTATTAATAATAATAATATTCTAAAATTTATTCATAAAATAAATGGAACTTTTTAGTCCTATATTTATTCTGAATATAATCTATCCATTTTCTCCAGACCAAAATGTATCTTTCTTGTGAATAATCCTTCAAATAAGCAGAAATCTTAGCCATTTCTGCTAAATTTGACACTTTAAGCATCCATTCTTCTATAGTAGGCAAACAATCCTTCTTCCAATATTGCCCTACCAGCAGCCTTACTGCTGTTATTAAATTCAACATCAAATTAATTTCCTTAGCATCAAAATCTACTATAATACCCAACAAAAATAGTTGAGGAGTAAGTGTTTCTCAATCTTGACAACTTTAAGATGTGGGGACTTCAACTCCCAGAATTCCCTAGCTGCAAGCCGGGCTGAGGTATTGCCAAGATTGAGTAACAGTGTTCTACAGAGAAGAATTCATTAGTGATGAAAGGAACTAGAAACCTTACTGACAAGCTGTTCTGACCTCTATTCCTTTGTATTTTATTTATTCTTGGATTGACTTTCTATACTAAGAGTAACTGTAATAAAGTGGTAAATAAGGAACTCTTCATTTTGTGTCAATGCCATTGAGCTTTCTTATTTACCAGAATTCGACTCATCAGAGACTATAAAAGGAATAAATTCAAGCATTTGCCACATTGAATGACGATCCTGTGAGTGCAGTCCTAATACATCAGGTAGTTCCTATATCAGACAAAGCTGTTATAGGCTGAATTTCCAAAATATGATAAGCTAAAAGCAAGAAGTGACATGACATCTTAGTTGAATATGTGACTTCAGTCTTTAAAACAAAATTGGATGTTGATAACCAAATCAGGCCCTAGGTTCTGCCTCCGTTTACCTTCACAATCAGCAACTGAGTTGGAAGATCATTTAAAAGCGAATTATTAGGGTACCCTGATAAAGTGGAATCTCCCTATGAAACATTCCTTTTTATAGTTAACACAACAAAGAAACAGCAAGAGAAAAGTGGATTGAACAGGTTAAAAGTAACTTCCCCTTTGCATAGTACAGGGGTAGGCAACCTTGACTCTTTTATGACTTGTGGACTTCAACTCCCAGAATTCCTGAGCCAGCATGGCTCAGCTTGGAAACCTTTCCCTTTCCCCTCAGCATGGCTGGCTCAGGAATTCTGGGAGTTGAAGTCCACGAGTCATAAAAGAGCCAAGGTTGCCTACCCTTTTGCATAGGAAATCAGTTACATGTAGTCAAACATGTTACATATTTGCATCCCATAATATCACACATGTTCATTAAAATGAGGTCTGATGCCAGAAGGGGGCATAACATTTAAGGGAAAAGGTTGTTTGGAGTTCATAAAGAATAACAGAATAACGGAGTTGGAAAAGACCTTGGAGGTCTTCTAGTCCAACCCCCTGCTCAACAGACCAACCAGACCCCCATTTGCACTAACAATTTTTTTCTTATTAGGAGAAAAGCCAGTTTATCTTTTCAGGTTAGGAATATTAAAAGCTATCAATCAATCAATCAATCAATCAATCCATATAGCAATAGGACAAAAAGTTTTCCCTCATTCCAGTCTGTGATGAGCCTTAACACCATTTTAAAAGAGAGAAAAATAAGTTAAATGAAAATACAAAGTAACTATGTTAGTTACAAAAGTTACAAAATCCATGTCATGTGCCCCTCAATGTGCATTCACAACATATAGCCATTCATGTTGTGTATACTATATACTGTGAATGCCCACAATTAGAATATTGGAACTTGCTATGAGGAAACAAGAAACCAAGATTTGGAGACAAGCTAAGGCCAAATATTTAGTGATGTCACCACTTAAGTGACATAATCAGTTCATTGGCCTGCCTGTTGTATGTCCTGGAAGGTAATAAGAGTCAGACAATTACAAGGAGCATGTTGAATCCATGGCTCGAAGCCCAAAGAAACCGGGCAGCGTATTAAATCAATTTGATGCATGAATTAGATTTTGAAACGTGGGAAGATTTATCTTTTGATAAGGAAGACATCCTGATGTCAAAACAGGGTTAGCAAATTATATTATCAACGTATATATTTTAAGATACAGTGGTCTGCTTAACTTCATTCAATACATTTCTATATTTTTCTTTCCTGCGTGCTTTTCAATGCAGCTGGAATTAACCCACACCCATACATTACTTTTAAGGGCCCTGAAATTACTTGTGACAGTTTATTTCCAAAAACAGCCTCACCTGAAAAGGGATCACCTGAACCCTTTTGGCCAAACTACAGGTAAGTGAACTACAATACATTTCCCCCCCTTAAATTTGCACCTCTTAAAACAGACATGTCAAACACAAGGCCCGGGGCTGGATGCGGCCCGCAAAGTGGTTTCATATGGCCCGCAAAGCCATCCTGGAAACAGTGTGGGAACAGCCTCCTCTGCCTTGGCCCTGGCCCAGGCCAACCCGAAGCCAATGTACAATTTTGTGGTGGCCATCTATGCTGTAACGCATTCAATCTTAGCTCCACAAGGATGTCTGGAAACAGCGAAGAACCAGGAGAACCTTGAGCCTTGAGGAAGTAGGACTGGGTTTGGTGCTGCGGGTGCTCAAGGGCCAGGCTGGGCATTTGACCTCTGCTGCCCAGGGCTCCAGGTAGCCCGCATCACCATCCAGCCCCCCCCCCCCATGGCCTGAGAGGAACTGTGAGGCTCCTCCAGTGGACCATGCCTTGGCACTTGCCCTGGTCCCACCCCCTTCTGCCAGAGACCCTCAGATCTGTCCCACTCCTGCCCAGGCCCCCCATAGGCACCCTTGATGCGAACAATGTAGAGCCACACCCACTCCATCCACACCCACCCAGCAGGCTGCACCCACCCTGGCCACAGCCACCCGGCCCCCTGAGGGCAACAGCAATGCTGATGCGGCCCTCAATGAAATTGAGTTTGACACCCCTGTCTTAAAATAACAGGGTCCTTTTGTTTTGTAAACGTGTGGCTTCCTCGCCATCCTCCTCCCCCATTTCTTGAAGATGCTGAAATGGCTACTTGACCAGGATTTGTTTAGTTAGCGTATGGTGCTAAATATTCTAACCGGGATAACACAATGGGATAAATCAAGAGCTAACCATCACAGCTTTGCATAAAGCTTTATTAAGGCTAATCTGTGTATAGTATAAACAATGATGCATTTTTCAACAACCCTTTCCTTACCTTTCGTCTTCTCAAATACCCTTTTTACGGTCCTGAAAACCTTCCTTACGGCATTGGCAACACAATCCATGTTACACATCTTGTCAGCTTGTCAATTACAGCACCTGCAGGTAGATATGATGATGATGAAGAAGAAGAAGAAGAAGAAATGCTATCTGGACTAGTTAAATCTGAGCAACCACTAGATGGTAGGAAAGAAACACAAACCACTTTTGCCATCATCCTTCCTGTGGTCAGCTGGACTTCTGCAGCCCTAGAAAGGAACTATATTGGTCCCACAATAACCAAAGCAAGTGAATATACAGGTAGTCCTTGACTTACAACCTATTTGTTTAGTGACCATTCAAAGTCACAATGGCACCGACAAAGTGACTTACAACTATTGTTCACACTTACGACTATTTCAGCATCCCCATGGTCATGTGATCAAAATTCGGATGCTTGGCAACTGGCATGTATTTATGACAGTTGCAGTGTCCTGGGGGGGTGTATCACGTGATCCCCTTTGGTAACCTTCTAATGAGCAAAGTCAATGGGCGAAGCTGGATTCCATTAACAACCATGTTATTAACTTAACAACTGCAGTGGTTCACTTATCAATTGTGACAAGAAAAGTCACAGGATGGGGCCAAACTCACTTAACAATTGTCTTGTTTAACAACAAAAATCTGGGGATCAATTGTGGTTGTAAGTGGAGGACCACCTATATAATAATAATAATAATAACAATAATAATAATAATATAATGATGATGTACTGAAATTAGTATATCAGGAAGGCTTACTGACTACTGGAGAGACCAAACTGGCCTACAAGAAAGACCAAATGAAGAACAGAATAGAGGCATGGGAAGACAAAGCACTACATGGCCAATACATTAAAAAAATAGCTGGGAAAGCAGATATTAACAAGACATGGCAATGGCTAAGAGCAGGAAAATTGAAGAAAGAGACCGAGGGACTAATTCTGGCTGCACAAGACCAAGCCTTAAGGACAAATGCATACAAAGTCAAAATTGAGAAGACAGCAACAGACAGTAAGTGCCGCCTATGCAAAGAAGCTGAAGAAACAGTGGACCACTTGGTAAGCTGTTGCAAGAAGACCGCACAGACTGACTACAAGCAGCGGCATGACAAAGTAGCAACAATGGTGCATTGGAAGATCTGCAAAAATATCATTTCCCTGTAAACAAAAACTGGTGGGATCATAAAATAGAGAAAGTCATAGAAAATGATAAAATTAAACTGCTCTGGGACTTCAGAATTCAAACAGACAAGCACCTGCAACATAACACCCCAGACTTAACAACTGTCGATAAGAAAGACAAAAAAGTCTGGATAGTGGGCGTGGCAGTGCCTGGAGACAGCAGAATAGACGAGAAAGAACTGGAGAAGATAACAAAATATAAAGACCTACAAATAAAAATAGAAAGACTGTGGCAAAAGCAAGCAAGGGTAGTACCAATAGTCATAGGCTCCTTGGGTGCAATCCCAAAACAACTGGAGCACCACTTTAACACCATTGGCATTGACAAATTTGCTATTAGTCAATTGCAAAAGGCGGCCTTATTAGGAACTGCTTCCATCCTGCGACGATATCTGTAATACCATCAAACATCCACATCTGCCAATCCCAGGTCCTGGGTAAGGACTCGATAGGTAGACAAAATGCCAAATCCAGTCTGAACATCTGGCTGACTGTGCGATGATCCATAATAACAACAACAACAACAACAACAACAACAATAATAATAATAATAATAATAATAATAATAATAATAATAATAATAATAATAATAGGATCTTGGAGGTCCTCTAGTCCAAGCCCCTGCTCAGGCAGGAAACCCTATACCATTTCAGACAAATGGCTGTCCAGTCTCAATGATTCCCAGTGTTGAAGCATTCACCGCTTCTGGAGGCAAGTAGTTCCACTGGTTAATTGTTCTAACTATCAGGAAGTTTCTCCTTAGTTCTAGGATGATTCTCTCCTTTATTAGTTTCCTTGGATTTACTGAAGTTGTTCCTTTTTCTTTATAGCTTTATGGGGTTGTACAGAATGCCGGATGTAAGCAGCAAAAGATTCTTCCTTCAGTTTTGTGCCATACCAGAAAATTGTCCTGAGGGTTTTTGGGGATTATTTTGGTCAGGTTGTTATAGGCAATACAAAAAACAGGCTATTAAAAAAAGAAAATGATGTTCCACCTCACATCAACTTGCATCACTTTGCTCTTTCCACGCCTTAAAATCCAGTCAATTCAAAAATTAAAATACAAGGGAAGCAAATAAAGAAGAAAGCAGTAAAAGCAGCAATCAGAACAGTTCCAAAGTGTTTAAGCCTATGTGCTTAAAATTATGTATTATAGGTAGCCCTCAACTTGTGACCATTTGTTTATCTCCATGACTGACTTTTACACACACACAAAATCCATGTAACATCACCCCCATCAGCCCAGAGATGACAGCAATCCTGATTACATTATAAAGGAGCACCAGATCTGCCTCTTTAGAAGAATCCTTTCAGACCTCAAGCTCTCCAAATGGGTCAACTTACAAACCCAACATCCCAACGAATACAGCACCAGATCTGAGGAAAAACAGGTCAGCATTCCTTGTGAATGTATTAAAAAGTTTGTCAGGAGTCAAGCTATTCTCCAAAGTGCCTGAAGACAGGACAAGAATGGAAACTAATCAAGGAGAGAAGCAACCTAGAACTAAGGAGAAACTTCCTGACAGTTAGAACAATTAACCAGTGGAACAACCTGCCTCCAGAAGCGGTGAATGCTCCAATACTGGAAGTCTTTAAGAAGAGACTGGACAGCCATCTCTCCGAAATGGTGTAGGGTTTCCTGCCTGAGCAGGGGGTTGGACTAGATGATCTCCAAGGTCCCTTCCAACTTTATTACTACTACTACTACTACTACTACTACTACTACTACTACTACTACTACTATACTCAAACTGATCTAAGAGCTAAGGGATAGGTGTGCCCTAACTGGAAGTGATTAATAAAAACAACTTTGTTATCAAGAAGAAATTTTAACCTAAACTGGTCCTCCAATCATCTTACTCATTCAAGACTCAGCAATTCACCTGCTACAAGATCCCAATCTTTGTGTGTCCTTCTTTGTCTTCCTGTTTATTTATTCTCCCAAGTCCAGAATCACAAGTTTTAGTGATAGCAATTAGTATCAGAATCAGAGATCTATGCTCTAATTACCTAGCTAGATGCTTCCTAAACAAATATTCACACCTGGTTCTTTAAATTACCATAGCCTTTGCAGGTTATGTAGCATTTTGTTTACCTCCCCAAAATTCTGCTTCTCGAGAATTCAGGCTGGGGAATGTTCAAAAGGGGAGTGGTCTCTGCTCCCATCCCCAATATAGGTGCACCCTGTAACTACTTCTTTTCACTCCTGTTCCTCTTCCATTAATATCCCCTTCAGCTTCTCATGGAGCACTGCTCATCAAATTTGCAGACGACACCAAGCTGGCAGGAATAGCCAACACTCCAGCAGACAGGCTTAAGATACAGAAAGATCTGGACAGACTTGAACACTGGGCACTAACTAACAAAATGAAATTCAATGGTGAAAAAAGCAAGGTTCTATATTTAGGCAAGAAAAACCAAATGCACAAGTACAGCATAAGTGGCACCATGCTCAATAGTAGTAACTGTGAGAGGGACCTCGGAGTCCTAGTAGACAATCACCTAAATATGAGCCAGCAGTGTGCTGTAGCTGCCAAAAAGGCCAACACAGTGCTAGGCTGCATTAACAGAGGGACAGAATCAAGATCACGTGAAGTATTAATACCACTCTTCAATGCCTTGGTAAGGCCACTTGGAATACTGCATCCAGTTTTGGTCACCATGATGTAAAAAAGATGTTGAGACTCTAGAAAGAGTACAGAGAAGAGCAACAAAGATGATTAGGGGACTGGAGGCTAAAAGATATAAGGAACAGTTGCTAGAATTGGGTATGTCTAGTTTAACGAAGAGAAGGACAAGGGGGGACATGATAGCAGTATTCCAATATCTCAGGGGCTGCCATAAAGAAGAGGGAATTAAGCTATTTTCCAAAGCACCTGAAGGCAGGACAAGAAGCAACGGGTGGAAACTAATCAAGGAGAGAAGCAAACTAGAACTAAGGAGAAACTTCCTGACAGTGAGAACAATTAATCAGTGGAACAGCCTGCCTCCAGAAGCAGTAAATGCTCCAACACTGGAAGTTTTTAAGAAGAGACTGGACAGCCATTTGTTCGAAATGGTGTAGGGTTTCCTGCCTGAGCAGGGGGTTGGACTAGATGACCTCCAAGGTCCCTTCCAACTTTACTACTATTACTATTACTAAAGGTAGTGAGAGGATTGGATGCAATAAACTAATAGACTAAAGGTGTTTAGGAATCCTCCCCAACCCATATTTTAATAGCTGAACTGTTTTTTCCCCTTTTTGTGAAAGAGGAAACATCAAAGGGCTACAAGTAATGATCACAATACAAGAGATTATCACAGACGCTCGTATTAAAATTATATTATTGGAAGAGAGAGAGAGAGAGAGAGAGAGAGAGAGAGAGAGATGGATGGATGGATGGAGCAGGACTGATGCCCTCTGAACTTAGTTGTTTTCTTACAGATGTTTCATTACCCAAACCAGGTAATATCATCAGTGCTAGTGCCTCACAGGATGGGCACTAACAATGTTACCTAGAGTTCAATCCTGACTCAGATTCACCCAGCCTTCCATTCTTCCAAGGTCAGTAAAATGATGATCCAGATTATTGGGGGCAATATGCTGATATTGTAAACTGCCCATAGAGGGCTGGAAAGCACTATGAAGCAGTATGTAACTCTAAAGCGCTATTGCTACTGCCATCCATTACAATGGAAGCATGATAGAAAGTTTCCAGCCAACTGATGACTGGAAAGCAAAACCAGCCATGATTATCCTTTCCTCTTTATGTCTTTTAATCCCACCTTTATTATTTTTAGGGTTAGGCGACAAACATACATCATATTCCTTCCTCCTATTTTCCCCACAACAACCCTGTGAGGTGAATTTGGCTGAAAGAGAATGACAAGCCCACTTTAGGCAGTTTTCCTGCCTAAAGTGGGACTAGAACTCACCATCTCCTGGTTTCTAGACTGGCACCTTAACCACTAGACCGAACTGGCTTTCAAAGTATCTTCTTTGCCAATACTCTGATGTTCTTACTTATCAACTCCACTTGGATTAAAAACCCAGCTGATCCTTTAATTCTGCACAGCCACACTTATCTTTTCCCCTTAAGGCTTTTAACTTACTCAGAAAGGTTGTCTTCGTTATTCTGGAGCTCTTCTCCTTCTGATGTCCTGGAGGATTTTAGATAGCTTATGTACCCGGCTGCTGGATCCATCCATCCTGCCCACATTGGGGAGGGAGCAACTACACATGTGAGAAATCAGTTGCCTCTTTCACAATCTCTTTGAAGGATAATAAACTGATCTGACTAATCTCCACTCACTACAACCTGCTGACTTTCAGTGGGTGAGGAAACATTTAATTTCAATCTAGTCAGTGTCCTCTTTGGGGAGAACTGGCATGTATTCTTATCTGATGCTTAGTGAGATCAGTGTACACACACACAAAAACATGTCCAAGATACATCCAAGTCCTTTTCAGGCATTTGGCTGAATGCCCAGAGGAGTCAAATTGGAGAAGGATGAGATCTTCCATGTTGGCCCCATTCTCTTCCCTTGATCCCCACTTATTCGGCTATCTGTGCTACCTGGGGGCTCCCCTTTGTTAAAGTTCTAGATTGCATGGAGAAGTTCTCCTGATCATGCCAAAGAGAGCGTTCTTCACCCATCATACAAATGTTACAAGCGTGAGATATACTCTCCCATTGTCTATTCAAATCCAGTCTGCCTTGTCTCTTTTCCCATTCATTATAGATACATGACTTTGCTCTAAGGACGATCCTGGACATTCCTTTTTGATGGTGGCAGGAAGAACTACAAAAGACTTAGGATCATCGCGCCTGTGGTCTGAGAATGAGATGAAGGCAACATGTCCATAACAAATATTGAGAGGGCTCCTGGATGATTTTCCTAATTTTACAATTACAGCCTTTCATAATTATTAACGTTTTTACTCTGACTAGTATTCGTATTAACTTGCACAGTTAGCTCTTCACCTTTGCGGTTCGCTGCCCAGAGTCATTTGATTGTGAGATGGGTGGCTATAGAAATCTGAATGAATGAACAAACAGTGATTAAAGAGGAATATTCGTACCTCAGAGTTGAAATGAGGAGTCCTTGGTGCTCGCTGAGTTTGGTTATCGTTCTAGGGAGATTCTCAATCATCTAGGACAGAGGTAGGCGACCTTGGCTCTTTTGTGACTGGTGGACTTCAATTCCCAGAATTCCTGAGTCAGCTATGCTAATTCTGGGAGTTGAAGTCCATGAGTCATAAAAGAGCCAAGGTTGCCTACCCCTGATCTTGTTCATATTAGTAAAGTTGGAAGGGATCTTGGAGGTCATCTAGTCCAACCCCCTGCTCAGGCAGGAAACCCTACACCATTTCGGACAAGTGGCTGTCCAGTCTCTTCTTAAAAACTTCCAGTGTTGGAGCATTTACTGCTTCTGGAGGCAGGCTGTTCCACTGATTAATTGTTCTCACTGTCACGAAGTTTCTCCTTAGTTCTAGGTTGCTTCTCTCCTTGATTAGTTTCCACCCGTTGCTTCTTGTCCTGCCTTCAGGTGCTTTGGAAAATAGCTTAATTCCCTCTTCGTTATGGCAGCCCCTGAGATATTGGAATACTGCTATCATGTCCCCCCTTGTCCTTCTCTTCGTTAAACTAGACATACCCAATTCTCGCAACCGTTCCTTATATGTTTTAGCCTCCAGTCCCCTAATCATCTTTGTTGCTCTTCTCTGTACTCTTTCTAGAGTCTCAACATCTTTTTTACATCGTGGTGACCAAAACTGGATGCAGAATTCCAAGTGTGGCCTTACCAAGGCATTGTAGAGTGGCATTAATACTTCACATGATCTTGATTCTATCCCTCTGTTAATGCAGCCTAGCACTGTGTTACTGGACTTTATTGGTTTTTTTGTCCTTGAAAATGTTTCATTTCTCATCCAAGAAGCTTCTTCAGTTCTGAACTGAAGAAGCTTTCTAGATGAAGTCCAGCTGCCTTCTGAGCTTAGTTGTTTTCAAGTTGGGTAATGAAAGATCTGCAAGAAAACCACCAAGCTCAGAGAGCACCAAGGACCCCCTCAAATAATCTTTATTAGGGCACAAAAGAAAAAAGAGGTAGCTAGATCATCTTGTGCTGTAAAATTTCCATCTGAATTCATGAAGGTTTAGGGTTTAAAAAGTGTCCCAGTCTCTATCCTCCTTTGAACCCCTGCACACCTTCAGCTAAGTGTATAAATAGCCTTAAAAGTTTTTTGTTTGTTTGTTTATTTATTTATTTAATTAATCAAATTGATGTGGCTGCCCATTTCCCAGAAAGTGGGTGGCATGCAACAATCCAGTTAAAACAATAAATAAATAAGACGATCGTTGGTTAAAACCATTCATATAATATAATTATTAAAAAGAATTAGAAATTATTTAAAAAAAACAGGTGAAACGCAAAAAAAGGGAATCATAGACAGAGGGATGCGAATAATAAGGAAGCCATCTTACAAGTTCTCCTGTCCCGGGGATGCCCCAGGCCTGTTAGGATAACCAGCGCTTGAAGGGCCTTCATGAGCTCAGGAGCGATAAAGCTGACCTCATTTTCCAGAATTGCAGACGCCGCAGCAGAAAATGCCGGGATGTTCTTGCTCCCCTGAATTTGGTTACATCAAGAGTAACCAGCTTTGTGCAGGTAGAAGCAAACAGGGATATTTAATTGAAGCCTCAGACTGATCCTATAAATCAAATATATTACTAAAGCATTTTGTTTTTAAGGTAAGCCAGTTATCTTTAAATAAGTATTTTAAGCCAGTTCCCTTAAAACAGTGTTTCTCAACTTTGACAATTTTAAGGCATGTGGACTTCAACTCCACTGCTAGCTATGCCGGTAATGTTAAGGATATAGGAAGCTATTTTACAGGTCAGTTAAATTGGTGATTTGATGTATTTGGTAATAATATGATACAGTACAGATAGTCCTTGTGGGAAAAGGAGTTTATTATTTTTACAGAACTATGAGAAGACATGCTAGCTAGCAGCCTGTGAAGCAAATACATTGTATATATTTTAATCTCATGAGCCTAGTTTGAAGCTTGAGAATTGTATCTAGGAAGGTCTCTGCTACGCTGAAAACTGGTTCTAACCAGAATTTACTGATATGATAGCAACTTTAGAGACAACCCCTAGGAACTAACAACCATTTTCCAAAACAGCTATTTTCCAAAGCGCCTGAAGGCAGGACAAGAAGCAACGGATGGAAATTAATCAAGGAGAGAAGCAACCTAGAACTAAGGAGAAATGTACTGACAGTTGGAACAATTAATCAGTGGAACAACCTGCCTCCAGAAGCAGTGAATGCTCCAATACTGGAAGTTTTTAAGAAGAGACTGGACAGCCATTTGTCCGAAATGGTATAGGGTTTCCTGCCTGAGCAGGGGTTTGGACTAGATGACTTCCAAGGTCCCTTCCAACTTTATTATTATTATTATTATTATTATTATTATTATTATTATTATTATTATTATTATTATTAAAGGAAATTTGTAAATATGGGCTGGGGTCGATAGAATTTGGGGAGTGGGTGAAGTAATCAAGGGCGAAGATAATGTATTCACTATAGAAGCTTTGGATAGGTTGTGACAGCATGATTACAGTATGATTACTAAGCCAATGAAGAAGAGGTGGGAGGTAAATTTGAAACGGCAATGGAGAATATGAAGAATGAATATGGTAGATTTGGGATGTGTCCACTGTGTGCTTGCATGCACAAGGAGCACCCTCTTTGCAAAGGAGTACAAATAAATTACCATTGTTTTCTCTTGGAACTTTTGGCTTGTGATTTTTATTTCAACTAGACAACAAATTCCACAGTATTTGACTTAGACCAGGGGTAGGCAACCTTGGCTTTTTTATGATTCATGGACTTCAACTCCCAGAATTCCTGAGCCAGCATGCCTCAGCTTGGAAATCTCTCCCTTTCCCCTTAGCATGGCTGGCTCAGGAATTCTGGGAGTTGAAGTCCACAAGTCATGAAAGAGCCAAGGTTGCCTACCCCTGACAGACCATAATTGGAACTGGAACTTCTGTTGCTAAACAATGCAGTTGTTAAATGAATCAGTTGTATCACTTTGGGGCCATGGTTGTTAAGTGAATCTGGCTTCCTCCATTGACTTCACTTGTTGGAGCACCTGAGGAAGGTTGCAAATGGCAAACACAAAACCCTGGGACACCACAACAGTCATAAATAAATGCCGATTTCCAAGAGCATTAATATTGATCACATGACCTTGGGAACGCTGCGACAGTTATAGTGGGAAGACCAGTAATAAGTTACTTTTTTCAGCACTGTTGTAATTTCCAACAGTCATGAAATAGTTGCAAGTTGAGGACTACTTGTAATTTGTAACATTAATCATACCGGTTGAATCTTCTGCAAGTTGATAGTCAGCCCTATGTAGGTATGGGGAACCGATAACCTGTATTTTCCTCCATGAACAAAATCAGAGCAGTCCTTCCAAGATTTTAAGAAAGTTTAAAAGGAGGTAACACCTCCTCAGAAGATAATAATAATAATAGTAAAGTTGGAAGGGACCTTGGAGGTCATCTAGTCCAACCCCCTGCTCGGGCAGGAAACCCTACACCATTTCGGACAAATGGCTGTCCAGTCTCTTCTTAAAAACTTCCAGTGTTGGAGCATTTACTGCTTCTGGAGGCAGGCTGTTCCACTGATTAATTGTTTTCACTGTCAGGAAGTTTCTCCTTAGTTCTAGGTTGCTTCTCTCCGTGATTAGTTTCCACCCGTTGCTTCTTGTCCTGCCTTCAGGTGCTTTGGAAAATAGCTTAATTCCCTCTTCTTTATGGCAGCCCCTGAGATATTGGAATACTGCTATCATGTCCCCCCTTGTCCTTCTCTTCGTTAAACTAGACATACCAAATTCTCGCAACCGTTCCTTATATGTTTTAGCCTCCAGTCCCCTAATCATCTTTGTTGCTCTTCTCTGTACTCTTTTTAGAGTCTCAACATCTTTTTTACATCGTGGTGACCAAACTGGATGCAGTATTCCAAGTGTGGCCTTACCAAGGCATTGAAGAGTGGTATCAATACTTTGCGTGATCTTGATTCTATCCCTCTGTTAATGCAGCCTAGTACTGTGTTGGCCTTTTTGGCAGCTGCCGCACACTGCTGGCTCATATTTAAGTGATTGTCTACTAGGACTCCGAGGTC